GGGGGCGAGGACTTCCAGGAAGGCTATTTCTGGACAGCTTCTCCGCAGGGAACACATGGTCATGACATACAGGCAAATCCCCCCAGCACATCTGATTCCCGGGCAGGGACCAGCCGCGCCAGACCGAGGTAAATGACTCCCAGTCGTCAGCCCCTGGGGCACACCCGGAACTCAGCAGGGCCAAGGCCTGGCCTGTGTCCCAAGGCCAGCAAGCAGGAAAAACGCCAAGTGATGGGAAGAGTTCTCTGTTAGGAGAGAACTTCATCCGCGCAGAGTCTAAGAGCAGGGGCAGGCAGAGCCAGGGACTCGGCTTCCCCACCTCCCCCGCCTCCCTGCGAGGCCGAGGCCCCCACGCAGGCCCGAGAATGGGGTGAGCGGCTGCGGCTGTCTGTAGTCCTCATTGCCCCTTGACGACTGTCACTGTCATTTCACGTCTCCGCTGTGTGCTCCTGTGTTAGGGCCAGCCCGACCTTCCGCCTCCCTGTAGCTCCCCAACTCCCTCCTACCAACGGCCTGCTGTCTCCGGGCTCCACAGGCAGCGGGGGACAGGCAGGTAAGGCGATGCCAGCTCCGATGCAGAGCCACAGGCACCAACCAACAGGCCCCAGAGTGCGTGCTGAAGAAGGGGCCCTTAATTCTGCCTGGAAATGGGGACAGCTCTTGGGAGACAGGAGCCTTAAGCTGGGTCTTGAGGGATAAACGTGGACTCGACAGAAAGCAAGGTGGGGAGATTTTGAAGTGCGGGGATGGCATCTGGGCTCCGAGGGGCTGGCGTGGCCCAGACACGAGGCTCCCACTACAGAGGAAGGGGCGAGCCCTAAGGTGTGCCCAGACGGGGCAGGGACGGGCAGGACGTGCCACGTCCTGGACTTCCTACTTGACTCCAAAGGCCGTGGAGAGCCACGAAAGCTGCCTCACCGAGAGCTGTCCCCAGCTGCGGGAGGGCTGGAGGGGACAGGGCACGGGGTCCCAAGAAGGTGGTGGGCGGGGCTCCCGCGGGCACCTGCCCACCTTCTCCTGCTCTCCTGGAAGAGCGCGTGGTATCGTGAGTGTTAGCCAAGTGCTTCTTACAGATATTCATCTTTCTTCAGAAAAGAGACGGAGAGGGAAAAATAGAGAAGGTTCCAACGGGGTCCTCACGCCGCACCCACCCCCGGCCTCAGCCAGCTGGGATCACGGGTGCGCACACAACCGACGTGCAGAGACTTGGGGCTCAAACCCGGGACCTTCCCAGGACGGTCAGCACTGCAGAGCATGCACCGGCAGCCCAAACGCAGGCTTGAGTTTGACACAGCCGAGGAGAGGTTCGACTTCCCGGCTGCGCTCTGTAACCGCAGCGGCGCGTGGTTCTCTGTGGGGAGGCGTCCTGTGTGCCGGGGACACTGCAGCTCCCTGGCCTTCACCCACCAGAGGCCAGCCGGAGGCCCCAAACTGTGACAAGCCAAAAACGTCTCCAGACACTGCCAGGTGACGGGGAGACAAGCACGGCTTTGCGGTTTGTGGTGTCAGCGCCATGCTGACCGTCCATTCCCACCTGGTACTGTTAGGTCTTCGGGAAGGACATGAGCATTTTCCTGGCTGGTAAGCAAAAATGCATAGATTTTCCCGATGCCCCATATGAAGTGGCGACCCGCGGCCTCATCGTCTACAGGGGCATCTTCAGTCCATGCGGAATGGCCTTGGGATAAGGAGGTGAGAAGCCAGAGACAACGACACGTACTCAGGCCCCAGAGTGGCGGCTGCGCCTTGGGACCAAGCCCTGGCGTTGGACGTGCGGCCACCCTGGGTGCGGTTACAGGACATGGCACGGAGTGAGGAGCTGCCCCTGTCGCCCGGCGGTCGGCAGAGGTGGCCAAGCGGAGGCCGGCATTTCTAGTCCAAGCCTTCTCTAGCTCCGGGATTCTCTGCTGCAATGGAACCAGCTGGGGCTGCAGGTGGGTGACGGGGTACTGCTCTAGAAACCCGCTCCTAGTGGCCGCCTCACCCTTCACGCAACCACAGCCTCCCGGGGCCAGGGACAATTGCCTGACCCTGCGGCCATGTGGACACACAGGGAGAGTCACCTTTGTGTGTCGCTGCCCTTTTTGAAATGTGTGTGCCTTCCGGTACAACTCCTTAAATGATTCTTTTCTTTGGAATTCTTGCTAGATTTCTATAGAATTTAATGAATATACTGGGCTCCCCCTAGTGGTCACGAGAAAATCTCCAGATGGCCCCGGGTCGGTACAGAGTTAACCTCAGGACCTTCGCGCGCAGGGCAGGGCACGCCTTCCATTAAGGTCCCCCGCCTAAGAGACTTCTAATTATCTGCCTCCCACCTGTCAGTGGGCCTACAAAATTGGCTTGCAGCCCGCTCACCGCCTTTCCCTTCCAAACTGGTCCTTCCGTGGAATGTTCCTGCTCCCATCAGGGATCGCCCTGTCCGCGGCCTGCAGCTGTCCCCAGCCGACATCCATCTGGCTGTGAGTCCTGCCCGCCGCACAGCAGAGTGCTGCTCCCAGCTTTCCCCGAATCGTTCTCGTGGCCCCGTCCAAGCTCTCCTGGGCTCTCCAGGCGAATGGTTCA